TAACCAGTGTGTTGGACAGAGGTAACCAGTGTGTTGAAACAGAGGTAACCAGTGTGTTGAACAGAGGTAACTGGTGTGTTGGACATGGGTAACAAGTGTGTTGGACAGGGGTGAACGTTATGTTGGACAGAGGTAACCTGTGTGTTGGATAGGATTAATTGGAGGGTTGGACAGAGGTAACCGGTGTGTTGGACAGAGGTAACTGCTGTATTGGACGGGGGCAAATGGTGTGTTGGACAGAGGTAACCGGTCTGTTGGGCAGGGGTAACCAGTGTGTTGGACAGAGGTAACTAGTGTGTTGGACAGGGGCAACCAGTGTGTTGGACAGGGGTAACCAACGTGTTGGACAGGGGTAAGCATTGTGTAGGACAGAGGTACCCGGTGTGTTGGACAGGAACAACCTGTGTTGGGCAGGGGTAACCAGTGTGTTGGACAGAGGTAACCAGTGGGTTGGACAGGGGTAACTGGTGTGTTGGACATGCGTAAACGTGTGTGGACAGAGGTATCCGGAGTGTTGGATAGGGGGTAACTGGTGTGTTTGACAGAAGGTAAACCGTGTGTTTAGGACAGAGAGCTGTTATTGTACAGGGAGATAATTGGTGTGTTGGACAGAGGTAACCGGCGTGTTGGACAGGGGTAACCAGTGTGTTGGACAGAGGTAACTAATGCGTTGGACAGGGGTAACCAGTGTGTTGGACAGAGGAACCATGTGGTTGGACAGGAGTAACCAGCTGAGGATGGTGTTAACGATGTTGTTCAGGGGTAACTGTGTGTTGGAACAGGGTACTAGTGTGTGGACAGAGGTAACCAGGGGTTGGACAGGTAACCAGTGTGTTGGACAGAGGTAACCAGTGTATTGGGCAGAGGTAACCAGTGTGTTGGATGGGGGTAACTGGTGTGTTGGACAGAGGTAACCGGTGTGTTGACAGAGGTAACTATTTGTTGATAGGTAACCAGTGTGTAGGACAGAGGTAACCATATTTGGACAGGGTAACCAGTGTGTAGAGTGGGTAACCATGTGTTGGACAGGGGTAACCATGTGTTGAGACAGGGGTAACCAGTGTGTTGACAAGGGACCATCTGTTGGGCAGAGTACTGCTGTATTGAACAGAGGTACCATGTGTTGGACAGGGGAAACCAGGTGTTTTTGGACAGAGGTAACCAGTTTATGGACAGGGGCATAGCTAGTGAGTTGAAAAGGGGTAACCATGTGTTGGACAGAGGTAACCAGTGTGGGATGACAGAGTAACCAGTATGTGCACAAGGGAACCAGTGTGTTGGACAGGGGTAACGGAGTTTGGAAGGTGTAACCGTGGTGTTGAACAGGGGTAACCAGTGTGTTGAACAGAGTAACCAGTTGTGTTTGGACAGAGGTAACCAGTGTGTTAGACAGAGGTATCTTGTGTGTTGAGCAGAGGTAACCAGTGTGTTGGACAGAGGTAACCAGTGTGTTGGACAGAGGTAACCAGTGCGTTGGACAGAGGTAACCAGTGTGTTGAATAGGAGTAACCAGTGTGTTGGATAGAGGTAACTAGTGTGTTGGAAAGAGGTATCTTGTGTGTTGAGCAGAGGTAACCAGTATGTTGCACAGGTGTAACCAGTGTGTTGGACAGGGGTAACCAGTGTGTTGAACAGGGGTAACCAGTGTGTTGGAAGAGGTAACCAGTGTGTTGGACAGATGTAACCAGTGTGTTGAAACAGAGGTAACCAGTGTGTTGGACAGAGGTAACCAGTGTGTTGGACAGAGGTAACTGGTGTGTTGGACATGGATAAGCAGTGTGTTGGACAGTTGTAAACGGTATGTTGGACACAGGTAACCGGTGAGTTGGATAGTGGTGGTAACTTGTGTTTTTTAGCAGAAGGTAACCGGTGTGTTGGACAGAGGTAACCGGTGTATTGGACAGGGGTAAATGGTGTGTTGGACAGAGGTAACCGGTGTGTTGGACAGGGGTAACCAGTGTGTTGGACAGAGGTAACTAGTGTATTGGACAGGGGTAACCAGTGTGTTGGACAAGGGTAACCAGTGTGTTGGACAGGGGTAACCAGTGTGTTGGACAGGGGTAACCAGTATGTTGGACAGAGGTAACCGGTGTGTTGGACAGGAGTAACCTGTGTGTTTGGCAGGGGTAACCAGTGTGTTGGACAGAGGAAACCAGTGTATTGGAAAGGAGTAACCTGTGTGTTGGGCCTGGGTGAGCAGTGTGTTGGACAAAGGTAACCGGTGTGTTGGACAGAGGTAACCATGGTGTTTGGACCAGAGTAAACTGGTGTGTTGGACAGGGGTAAACGGTGTGTTGGACAGAGGTAACCGGTGTGTTGGATAGGGGTAACTGGTGTGTTGGACAGAGATAACCGATGTGTTGGACAGAGGTAACTTGTGAATTGGACAGGGGTAAATGGTGTGTTGGACAGAGGTAACCAGTATGTTGCACAGGGGTAACCAGTGTGTTGGACAGGGGTAGACGAGTGTTGGGCAGGTGTAACCAGTGTGTTGGACAGGGGTAACCAATGTGTTGGACAGAGGTAACTTGTGTGTTGAGCAGAGGTAACCAGTGTGTTGGACAGAGGTAACCAGTGTTGGACAGAGGTAACCAGTGTGTTGAACAGGAGTAACCAGTGTGTTGGATAGAGGTAACCAGTGTGTTGGACAGAGGTAACCAGTGTGTTGGAAAGAGATAACCAGTGTGTTGAACAGGGGTAACCAGTGTGTTGGAAGAAGTAACCAGTGTGTTGGACAGATGTAACCAGTGTGTTGAAACAAAGGTAACAAGTGTTTGGACAGAGGTACCAGTGTGTGGACAGATGTAACCATGTGTTTGAAACAAAGGTAGCCAGTGTGTTGGACAGAGGTAACCAGTGTGTTGGACAGAGGTAACTGGTGTGTTGGACATGGGTAACCAGTGTGTCGGACATTGGTAAACGGTATGTTGGACAGAGGTAACCGGTGTGTTGGATAGTGGTAACTGGTGTGTTTAGCAGAGGTAACCGGTGTGTTGGACAGAGGTAACCGGTGTATTGGACAGGGGTAAATGGTGTGTTGGACAGAGGTAACCAGTGTGTCGGACAGAGGTAACTAGTGTGTTGGACAGGGGTAACCAGTGTGTTGGACAAGAGTAACCAGTGTGTTGGACAAGGGTAACCAGTGTGTTGGACAGGGGTAACCAGTATGTTGGACAGAGGTAACCGGTGTGTTGGATAGGAGTAACCTGTGTGTTTGGCAGGGGTAACCAGTGTGTTGGACAGAGGAAACCAGTGTATTGGAAAGGAGTAACCTGTGTGTTGGGCCTGGGTAAGCAGTGTGTTGGACATAGGTAACCGGTGTGTTGGACAGAGGTAACTGGTGTGTTGGACAGGGGTAAACGGTGTGTTGGACATAGGTAACCGGTGTGTTGGATAGGGGTAACTGGTGTGTTGGACAGAGGTAACTTGTGTATTGGACAGGGGTAAATGGTGTTGGACAGAGGTAACCAGTGTGTTGGACAGATGTAATTAGTGTGTTGGACAGGGGTAACCAGTGTGTTGGACCGGGGTAAGGAGTGTTGGGCATGGGTAACCAATGCGTTGGACAGGGGTAACCAGTGTGTTGGACAGGGGTAACCACTGTGTTGGACAGGGGTAACCACTGTGTTGGACAGGGGTAACCAGTGTGTTGGACAGAGGAACCAGTGTGTTGGACAGGTGTAACCAGTGTGTTAGACAGAGGTAACCAGTGTGTTGGACAGGGGTAACCACTGTCCTGGACAGGGGTAACCACTGTGTTGGACAGGGGTAACCAGTGTGTTGGACAGAGGAACCAGTGTGTTGGACAGGGGTAACCAGTGTGTTAGACAGAGGTAACCAGTGTGTTGGACAGGGGTAACCACTGTTCTGGACAGAGGTAACTAGTGTGTTGGACAGGGGTAACCAGTGTGTTGACAGAGGTAACCAGTGTGTTGGACAGGGGTAACCAGTGTGTTGGACAGGGGTAACCAGTGTGTTGGACAAGGGTAACCAGTGTTTGGCATGGGTAACCAGTGTGTTGGACAGGGGTAACCAGTGTGTTGGACAGGGGTAACCAGTGTGTTGGACAAGGGTAACCAGTGTGCTGGACAGAGGCAACCAGTGTGTTGGACAGAGGTAACTAGTGTGTTGGACAGGGGTAACCAGTGTGTTGACAGAGGTAACCAGTGTGTTGGACAATTGTAACCAGTGTGTTGGACAAGGGTAACCAGTGTTTTGGACAGTGGTAACCAGTGTGCTGCACAGAGGTAACCAGTGTGTTGGACGGAGGTAACCACATAAGATCACTCATATCGTATGTAGAGCGATTTTCTCGTTTGTTTTTCCCCAAGTTATCAGCTATGCTCGCGTTTTGTCTATTATCTCGGAAGTTAGTTATTGGCCTATTTCTTATTACAACATCATTAATAATTAACGGATTGGGAGGATTATTACAATGAACATAAAACAATTAATATTTTACAAGATAGTGACAAAAATTTTGAAATACCCCGGAAAGTTTTTATTTGTGTAGGGGTAAGGGGCAAATATTTTGCTGAAAGTCTAAAAACTTACGTATTGTATTTTTTAGGGGGTGAAGATAAAATATATTACAGTATTTTTTGTTTTCTAAAAATCGATTTAGCATTGTTTTATCAGTAGAGAGTGTCCAAAAATCTTTTCACAGTGCCAGTACGTGCTGTCATGGTGCCAGATTTCATGTTCAGTAAATATTTTGCTTTTATTTGTTTGTTGGGCGATCTTTTTGAAACTTCTTCAAGGTTGCTTGAATGCAGACTTCTTAAAGTTCCCCAGACATAAATGAAATCGGACGAAAAACAAAGTACAATTTTTTTTATCCCCATTCCCAAGATCCTGAATTTTAAGCGGTTCAAGCCAGCCGAGATTCTATGCCACATTTGTTAATTCTCTTAAGTAATATTTATTCTCGGAGGTGCAATTTTATTTATGAAAAACTATAAAGTAAATAAATATGGCGAATAGGTGTCATTCTGTTACAGTGCTGACGGACGAAACAATTATGGCTCAGTGTGTGTTGTTTTTTGCCGCTGGTTATGATACTATGGCCTCCACTCTAGCCGTCTTGTCTTTCCTCCTGGCCAAGCATCCCATGCATCAGCAACGTCTCCGTCAGGAGTTGCAGCAAATAATTCAAGAGGAAGGTGATATTACATACCAGAGCATCATGGACGCAAAGTTTCTCAACGCTTGTGTAATGGGTGAGTAAATATCTCTAAGTTATTGCTCGTGATTACTTCTATATGTTAAGTGAAGAATACAGAACGGGTGAGGTTCGATCCCATGGCAAGAGAGTCGAAAACTTGCAGGCCAGAGTGTTATCCACTAGACCGAACTGGTCTAATAAGATATTTCCAATAATATATTTAGCATGGGTCCCACTGTGACCACAGTGCAGGTTTTTACAGATGAATCTCACACCAGAATTGCTGTCGTGTGTTCTATTTCAGGTCCCCTCACAGCCACTGTCATGAGTCTCAAAACCGTAATAACTCAACTGCAAGTATTACGATTTCGTGAATTACAATTTTAATGTTCAGTGTTTTAAGACTTCTGTTACAGAAAATTATGTTTAAATTTGTCAAACTGTTGATGGTACTAACTATGCAAATGACTTATAATAATTTTTCATTTTTGCTTCCTATAAAATTAATTTTACAGTAAAAGAATTATAATCAAAACATTGTTTTATGAACATTATGATTGGTCTATACAGTACCTCTGGTATTTTGTTCTTTTAGGAAAATTAATCAGATATAACAATAATCTTTTTTTTTCACATCATCCAGGAACTTGTATGTTATAGGAGACGAAATGTTTATTGTCTGTTTATCTACGTCTTACTGATACTGAGTGTCCACCGCTTAATGCTAATCCTGTTCAATAAAATTTAACTACAATATACATTATTATTAACATGATAGTGCATTTGTGGATATCACAGTGGAAGAGCTCATTACTTGAACTAATATATTTTAGCTAATTATGTGTATTAATATTTCAGAGTCATTAAGACTTTACCCACCATTTACTTCAGGGGAACGACTGTGCACTAAAACTTACAAGTAAGTCACATATTTATTATTATTATTATTATTATTATTATTATTATTATTATTATTATTATTATTATTATTATTATTATTATTATTATTATTATTATTGCGAAAAAATTATTTGGGGGAATGTTTTCACAAGCACAACCATGAATTAACTTTCCAGCCACATAACTGGGGAGAATCTTGATGCTAAAACAAGACTTATGTTACTGATGTTGTATCTCAGAGACATGTGGAAGTTAAGGAACACTGGGTCGCAACACTGTCCCTCCTTCAGTGCCCACACTCTCACATTCCTAACTCACTTCTGGATCTTAGATTAAGAATACATGGTTCCTGAATATTTATTATGAAAATTTAAGCCAGTAAACCTGGCTAGTTTAATGGACAGTGTGATTAGGAAAAAAGTTATGTGACTTGGCTCAAGTAACCTATTTCGTCTGTTATTTTGCACACAATTATAAATTAATATTAATACAATATCTGGAATCATAAGTTGCATTTACCTATATATTGAGTGATATATGGTAACACCTAACACGAAAGCAAACTAATATTGGCCAATAATTAGCTGCCTTACCTGTTGTGTGGTTATATGCCATATATAAAGAGGCGAAATTACATTATTACAAAGCAGTCGGTGATCCATTACTTCATGCATCTACCACCACGTCATGTTTTTCTTCCTTATTAGCCTTACTACACCAATTCTATATATATCTGGACACTTCCATATATATTTTCATCTTCACTTATCTGGCCATTATAAAATTCTGCTGATAATATTACTATCGCCTTGATGACACCCAATTAAATTATGCACCACTCTTTATTCCAGCTTTCACGTTCCACCATTCTTGATGCTCTTTCAAACACGTTATCTTATACACAAATATATAATTATATTCAGTGACACTTCCAGGTGTGTAATATTTTCCTTATCAGAAAATAAATTTCTTGTAAATTACAACAATTTCACCTCACTTAATCAACTTGTTCCAGTACATTAAGAAATTAAAGGGAATATTCATTTTCTCGTGTGACTTATCACCTTTCAAAAGTCACACCAATATTACACATCTTAATTACTTTATATAAACATTATTACCCCTATAAATTTTTACACACAGATCACAGAAAAAAATATCAAAATTCCACAATAATCAGTTTAAGCGGTAATTTTTATTTTTATTTTATTTAAAACATCATAAATTACAAGGTAGTATAAAATATTAAATACCACAATAATACAGGATCTGGACAAGATTACGAAGAATTATATCACAAGTGCAAGAGAAAAAATTTTGAAACATGCAAAATACATACACACCATGCACTGACACACATTATATAAAATGTTAATATATCTGTCACATACACACAAAACTGTTGGAGGGGGAACCCCCCCCATGAAAACTCATCTATAAATACACCCACATCATTCGCACACGTATTGATCACAGCAGTGATCACACATAAATTTTTGTAACTTTATATATACATGCAACTGATTATGAGATTTAACTTAAGAACAAAATCTGGTAATTATCCGTCAACATTACTCTATAACAATAAGCATTACACAAAATTACATAAGCGTATAAAGCATCAACAACTGCAAGATGTTTACAGCATACGTTGCATCAGCAACGAAACTTAATAACAGTACAAAAGTGATGGAAAACAAATTATGTAAAAACAAATATCAACCCCATCTAAGAGGAAAGAAATTTCCTACAAAATTACTATAAAAAACTGCGAAAATACATACCAGAAAAATTATCTTTGCAAAAACTGGTAGACTAACATGGACAGTGACTTCTATAACTCTCTTTTAATCTCAAGGACCTATTTTATACAAATCTTGGGCTCATCAAAATCTTGCACACAAAACTTACATGTCAACACAGCACCACTCAGTACATACCTTCCCGACCCTCACATTCCTTCCCAAGTCTTTATCTTATACACTCTCCCTCCGAAAAACTAATGTCACCCGCTTATAAAGGAAACCAGTCCTTTACTTATAATTAGCTCGCCAACTGAATGAGGCCATTGACCGTAAGTTTGCAGTAGGTCTCCGGAAACGTGCCCTCCACTGACCCCGTAAATAAGTTTGTTTCTGCAAACCATTCTATATATGCCTGCCGCAATTGCCCTAATCCTAATTCTTCCTCCTCCCGTGTCCCTCATCCCCCAGGAAATATACAGAAAATCCACCACTACATACATAATCGCCCTTTTCACTTCTCTGGAGACCCCGCGTACTTCTAATGTTAAGGCTCGCAGGGTCCCTACATTACCCCCACCCATCAACCTAAAAACCTTCGCTAACCACACCCTCACCTCCCTCAACTCTTCACAGAAATAAACCGCATGAAAAGCTGTTTCCTGTTCTCCACAGTGATCGCAGGTCTGTTCCCTCACCAATCCCATTGAACACAAAACAGCTTTCGATGCTAATATCCCCATTATAAACCTATATACAAACTCCCGTACTCTCGGCATTAACTTAAGCTTTCGAAAGTCATTCCCATATCATCCCCCAATCATAAAAGGGGATAAACCGATACCCCCTGAAATGATTTCCTGCCTTCTACTCATCGTCACCAAACGCCCCACCCTAAGTTTTTCCACCTCCCTAATCAATAACAATAACCTCAGCATATCCTCGCATTCAATTAATTCTTTTCCGCTCCACCATCTCCGCACATCCTTCATCACTTTCCCCACTCTAACCCCTCTTTCCCCCCCCCTCCCTAACGAACCTCTGTTTCACATATAAGGCCTTTACTCTCGGCCCCAACGCTAAAAGGCCTACTCCTCCACTGCGTATATTCGACATCACCACCTCCTTGCTTAGCCATGCCCTCCTGAAACCCCAAACATAACGTAATGCCCTCCTCTGAATCTCATGTACGTCTGGAGTCAGCAGTGGATACACCACAGCCATACTCCACACTTTACTATAAACTAATGAATTTATAATTATCGCCCGCTGTTGTAAGGTGACGTCCCTCGCCCGTAAACTCCTTAACCTTTTTACTGCCTTCTCCACCACCACCTCCGAATTCACCTGCCTAGCCTCCAGCGCATCTGTCATGTATATAACTCAACAAATTTTTAGCCTAGCCACTACTTCCCACCCAAACTCCAACCCCAAGCCCTCCCCCCCACCCAGGCACCCACCTCCAGCAAACTTGATTTTGCTCTGTTCACCCGCATGCCAGATGCCCTCCCGAAAAGCTCCAACACACTTTCCACCGTACGCAATCCCTCCACTCCGGCTATCAGAACAGTGGTATCATCCACATACCCCACCACATATATACACCCATTCTTCTTCCCATTTAAAATCCCCCTCCCCTCAACGAGCCCATAAAATGGATGCTGCATACACGCAAACAATATTTGAGACAGGGGACATCCCTGTCTCAAACCCCTCTCCATCCTTACAGGCCTTCCCAACCTACCATTAATTTGTACTCGCACCATTGCAGATGAATACATTGTATCAACCCACCTCACCACTCCCATGCCAAAACCGAGATGCAACAAACTAGCCCTCAGAAAGTTTCTATCCACACAGTCGTATGCATTTTCCCAATCAATGCCCAAAAGCCCTCCCCCGCTGCAACCCTCCAAAAAATCCCTAATGCGGCCATACCCATCTCTCATGCTTCTGCCCGGAATACCCATCTGCCCCTTATGAATAACCCCACCTAACACCTTCATCCTGTTGCCCAATATCTTCGCGAAAATCTTGTAGTCGGCACACATTAGCGAAATAGCTCTGTACTCACTCAATACATTTTCCTCTTGCTTTTTGCATACTAATACGACTACACCCGTTCGCTGAGTCTGTCCTAACTGTCCCTCCCGTCGCATACAATTCATGACCCTCACCAGACAGTACTTAATGTGCTCCCATTGAATTCTATAAAAATCATTTGATATCCCATCTATACCCGGTGCCTTGCCAGTACTCATGTTGAACACAGCCTCCTCAACATCCCCCATGTTAATCTCACCTCCCTTCTCCATGCCCTCCTCTCCACATGACCCTATACCTCTCTCTCCCACACCTCCTCAATAGCATCGCCCTCCTCCCCCTCCCCCACTTCTTTTGGAACAAGAAATCAGCATAATTACTCATGCCTTCTGTAGTATTCAGTACCTGTCCCTTGTGATAACCACCCATATCCTCACTTACCTCCAAGCTTAAAATAGTCGAATCCCTCTGCCTTACCCTAAAACCTCGCAAAACACTTCCCGAAGGTTTATCACCCCACAGCACAGCCTCCATTCCCGCCCTTACACGTACTGCATCAAATCTACCATTATGTAACTCTGCCAACCTGTCCTTGAGTTGCACCATGTTTCCGTGCTGCCGCCCCCCCCCCCTTCCTCATAACACCCATTTAGCTGATATTCAAAATAATTTTGCAACCCATACCTCCACCCTGCCTCTTCCCTTCCCTTCCTCTTATAGAAACCTGCTATACCTGGCTTAGCGTGCCTTTCCCACCATTCTAAGACACACGACTCTACCTCTCTAGAATCCCAAAAAGTTTGCCACCATTCCCCAAAAGCCATACTCACCTCCTCACTCCTCACGAATCTTGCATTTAATTTCTAAAAACCCGATTGTATCCTAACCATACCTTCCCAATCAAGATCTGCTATAACTGCCCTATGATCAGAAAACCTGACTCCCAATACACGTACAGCTTCCGTCGCATAGATCCTATCTAATCTTGCAGCATAATCCCGTCTGACAAACGTATACTCAACCTGCCAACCCCCCCTACCCACAACATCCAAACCCCCACGTCTCCAAACACATTACGTAACATACCCAACATACACCCCGCCCCCCTCGGTTCCACATCCCCACCACCACATCTCCCCTATACAGTGACTAAAGGTAAACCCCTAAATAGTACTCAAAAATTCCCTCACAAAGTTCTCCTTGACTCGTGCGTTGCCATCTGCCGGCATATACA